CTCATCTATCAGCATGAACCCATGTCTCTCTTTTTTCTTTTTCTTGCTTTCTTCTAAGGCCTTTTTAAGAGCATCCTTTCTCTTCCCTATAGTGTTTGTAGTTCTACCCCCAAGAATAATACACCCTTGAGGCAACACTGCTTTCTTTGCTACTTCTTTCAATTTACCAGATATTTGTACTTCCTCATCCACTTTCTTTTCTCTGATCCTAGCAATCAAGTCTGCTAGCACCTCATCATCACTATTAGCACTGCTTTCTTTTCTCACCTCTTCTTCTTCTTCTTCTTCTTCTTCTTCTTCTTCTTCTTCTTCTTCTCCTTCTTCCTCAATATTAGTCCATCCAAGAGATTCAGATTTGTATGGATCACCGTTTAGAGAACCCAATTCTTAAATTTGATCAAGATCGTTTTCAACACTTTCTTCAGCAACTCCATTTCCAACCACCTCTCCCTCACCAGAAGAACCTGGTTTCTATTTAGGGGCTTCTAGTGTTTCTAATCCTGTACTAACAATTTACCCAACTAGTTCTTCTGGCCTAGAGCTAGCTATTATTTCTTTTTCAATGACACCCACATCATTAGTTATTTCTCTCTCACCTACCATTATTCCCTCTTCTTATTCCCCCTGAGTTTTAGATTCCACCACATTACCATTCTCCTTCTCCTGTTCAGTGGTTTCTTCCCTCTTAATTTGTGGCTCCTCCACTACCATATTTTCATCGTCGGAATTTTCACTGTCCTCTTCATCAGAATAGCTGACCAACCATGTAAGAACTTTTGGGGCACTTTGGGAGAGAAATTGGTCTTGGACAGACTCGAAAAGATTGAATAAGGAAGGATGGGTATTATCAACAGGAGTGGTGTTTGATTCAAGGGGACCAAATGTGGCTTGGCTTGGAGAGCTCGACATTGTTAAGGGTTTGAGAATTTTTGGAAGAATTAGAAAACTAGGGTTTCGATTTTGGACTTGTGTTCTCTGAGAAGGAAAGAGCACGATTTGACAGTTACTCAATCACACTAATTGCTCTTAATCCAGCTCTAAGAAGGAAAGAGAGTAACAACCAATTTTTAAAATTTTTAAAAAGGCGGCTAGTGGCTCTGATTGGATGATAATGACGTGTTCTGAGGAGTTTGAGAAACTAGTCCTAATTTCACGTGGACTAATATTAGTCATGATTATTCTAGGAATAATGAATTTTATTTTGGAACCTTATCCCTTTTAATTTCATGAGTTAAAGAGAGTTGTTACCTTAGGATATGAACAATTGATTAGGAACCTAGTTTTAGTGATGTGGCAGTTTAACAGTTAGGCACAACTATCAGATGGAAACGAGGTATATACGTCAGTGTCATACACGTAAGTTCTTTGACTGATCTCCTCAATGTGGCCAAAAGAAACTTTTTCTAATTTAAGATTTCATCATCAGATTAAACGTCTAAGCCATTGAGATAATGTCATGCGTGCATACCTGTTAACTGAGTTAGACATCTATCACACTTAGAATCACTAATTACTTCACTAATATATAGTCAATCATAGAGGAAAATCAAAAATATCCTAGTTCATTTTGATTAAACCAAGCTCCAACCGTTTTATTTCAAAGTGATCCCTGCTCAAAGCCTTAGTAAATATATATATGCAGTCTGCTCCTTTGTCTTGTAAAGTTCTATAGTGATGTGACCCTTTTCAATGTTGTCTCTCAAAAAGTGATGTCTCACATCAATATATTTGGTTATCTTTTGATGAACCAGGTTGTTTGCCATGTTCATTTTGCTTGTATTATCACAAAATATAGGAACTCTTCCAATCATTACTCCATAATCTTCTAGTTATTGTTTGATCCAACATAGCTGAGCACAACATGAGGCAGCAACTACATACTCAGCTTCTGCAGTGGATAAAGCTATATAGTTTTGTTTCTATGAAGCCCATGAGACAAGAAAGTGAGCCATCCATGATATGCTCTTCATGTTTACCAAATACCCAGCATAATCAATATTTGTATATCCAATTAGATCAAATGAATATCCATATGGGTAACAAAGACCAAGGTTTTGAGTACCTTTGAGATATCTCAAGATTCTTTGAACAGCCATCAAGTGTGACTCCTTGAGATTGGACTGAAATCTTGCAAATAACCCTACACTATATACAATATCTTGTCTACTTTCAGTTTGGTAGAGCAAAGATTCAATCATACCCCTATTTTTTTCTTGACAGAGAGACTAGATTCATCCATACCCAACCTGGTTGTAGTTTCTATGGGAGTACAGATTGTCTTTGCATTGTCCATCTCAAACCTCATGAGAAACTCCTTGATATACTTCTATTGATGGATCATTGTGCCTTTTTCCATTTGCTTAACTTGAAGTTCTAAGAAGAAATTTAGTTCTCCTATCATATTCATTTCGAACCCACTTCCCATTAATTTTTTAAAGTCATTGCATAAAGATTCATTTGTCCTTCTAAAGATGATATCATCAATATATATTTGAACAATCAACAGGTTCTTGCAACTCTTCAACAAAAATAGAGTGTTATCAATTTTTCCTCACGAGAACCTGTTCTCCAGGAGAAATTTTGACAATCTTTTATACCATGATCTTGGCGCATGCTTCAAACCATACAATGCCTTGTCCAATTTATCACACATGATCTGGGAACTCGTGGCTCTTAAATCCTGAAGGCTGAAACACGAACATTTCTTCCTTCAAATACCCATTCAAAAATGCACTTTTTATATCCATTTGATATAGCTTGAAACCCATGTAGAATGCAAAAGCAAGAAGCATTCAAATTGCCTCCATTCCTACGACTAGAGTAAATGTCTCATCATAATCGATACCTTCTTCTTGATTGTAACCCTGCACAACCAACCTTGCCTTGTTTCTGGTAATATTTCCTTAATCATCTAGATCATTACTAAATATCCACCTTATTCCAATGATTGTCCTGTCTTCTGGCTAAGGAAGCAGGTGTCATACTTTATTTTTTTCAAACTGATTGAGTTCCTCCGCATTGCCACTATCCAATCTGCATATTCAAGTGCTTCTTTGATGTTCTTTGGCTTAACCATAGATATGTAGGCTGTGAAAGGGATCATATTTCTAAATTTTGATCTTGTTACTATTCCAGAGTTTACAGGTATGAGAACATTTGTAAGTGGATGAGAGCTCTGGTGCTTCCAAGCTCTCACTTGAGAATATGTGTTCTTCTTGTTCTGCATTAGGAACGGGTTAAGTCACTTCTGCATTGATTTCCATATCTATTCCCCCTACTTGTTGTTGTGCATCATGCTTAGCTTCCAAGGGACCAGGTTATTGTGCTTGATCTGTAACATCCCCTAGAATTTCTTGATTAGATTGATCATCATATTATAACACAAAGTATTCAAGCTTAAACCTAGAAACTACCAATCTTAAACATATAAAATACAAACCCAAAACACATAACCTACCAGTCCTAAACAGAAGATAAGTGTTAACATCACAATAACCACTACAAAAATAGCAGCAACCCGGAATTTCAACATTCCCACCCCTCCCCCGACAATAACAACCATCAGTCTTCTTAAGAAGTTCCATAGTAATAGAATTATTTTGTTCATCAATAGCTGGATCAAATCATGAAAGTAGTCACAACCTTTACCACTTGTGTAACTTTGATAGCCTAGAAACTTTCTTCCATGTTTGGTTGGCATCATATAATTTTTAGTTCAACAACAACTCACAATAGCATAAAGGTAACTCCTCCATTACGGGCGCATGCAACAAGAGAGGCAACAATGGTGTTTTATACGATAGAGAAGAAGAAATAGACAACCTTTGAAAACATGGAGCTTCAATGGAGATACCCAACAAACTATAGACTCAGGAAAAATAAAGAAGAAAAGAAACAAGATTTTGATAATATCTAAAAGACGATTCCATTGTTCAACAATGGAGAATGAAGAAGGAAGCTTTTAAATAGGGCAAAATTACTGTTAGGACCTTTTTCCTAGGCCCCATCCCCTTAAAGGCATGTGAATCACGCACTAGTGCCTACTCAGTCTTAAAAATGACACATAGTCTCAGTCACAATCATAAGCATTTAAAATATAGAATACGCACATGTCCACTTTATAACCCGTGGAGTATAGAGGTAAGAATGTATATGTATCTCCTGGGCTATTCTTCTCCTTTTTTAATGTGATATATGTTGTGTCTTTAATTCTTACGTCCAGGATCCAGGTTTTACTTTTGTAATGAAAAAACCTTTCTTTGGGTTTGAAATGTTTTATGGTAGTTCTCTTATTTTGATTTTTCTGTAAGAATTTTAAATAGTAAAAGTTATGTGATATTCCAAAATGCCCCTCTCGGTAGCATTAATATTTTTAATATACTACTTGTGTTTATGACCCAACTCTTTGTAAATGTTAATTAATTATCTATAAATACACTTTCATTTTAGGGAAAAGAAGGCTTTTTCAAGACATTCAATTCTATGAGAAAAACCCTAAATTTCCTAAACTAACTTTTACATGAAATCCCCGGACACAGGGGCGGATATAGTATTCTAATGACGGGTTTAAATAAATCTACAACTTTCGACGCGGAGTACAAATTCATGCATAAAAATTCACCAAAATTGCAAAAATAGTAAATATGAACCATATTTTGAAAATATAACGGGTTCAATGCTTAAAACTTTAAAAGTTGAACCAATAAACTTTAAATCTTGAATCCGCCTCTATCCGCGTATGAGATTAAGACAATGTGAAATCATATGTGTTATGATCGGCTTTTTGTAGGCTCTAACTTCTCGAGGGTGGCTTATAAAGCACACATGGAATTTTTCAATTGCCCAAAGAAGGAATTTTCTGAAAACCACAAAGAAATTCAGAAGAAAAACCACAAAGCAATTCAGAAGAAAGATCTTCTAAACAAAGAAGGAATCATTCTCTTCCCGATTCCCATGATTGAAATCAAAGCAACGTAACCTGGTTGGCGCATTTGATAATTGATGCCTTTATAATTTATAAATGAATTGGAGAGAGGAATCAGTTGGAAGTCTATGACATCCTGAACTAAAACTCGAATGGAAGCCAATGTTGAATTAATTGGAAAGCAAGCATATTCTGAATTTGATCCATATAGCGAGTGGCAAAAGGAGGAATTTGATGTTCTTATAGTCCATATCCCAGGTATGAATTAATATGGTTCCATACTCATATACATTCGCCCCCCCCCCACAAAATCATGGGAATAGGAATTGTTTTAAAAGAATTGGGTTCATAAGTTTTTCTAATATGCAGAGGTCAATTGATAGTGGTTTAATGACCGGAATACGAGCTTTCATTATTCAAGGTTCTAAATCATTTCTCACAAGTTTCTATATAACATCTTGAAGTTGGCTAATATTTATTCTTCTTTTTCTTTTATCTCGATCACTTGAGTGCAAATACTAAACTACAATATCTGCGCCAAATAGTGTGTGTAATCCAACTATTGTGTCAAACTATTTGGCCTATTTACTTTCAAAGTCTGAATACACTTTTTGAACTAGAGCTAATTGATTAGTATATATCATATAATAAACTAGCAAAGTAATTATAAATAATATATTGCTTCGGTTGCAGGTTTTACGCTATTTAAACAAAAAATAAAACTATTTCTAATTTTTGTTTGAAGATTTATATTTTAAGTGTTCAACCTTTAAGATTTTTAATATTGAACACTTAATATTTTTAAAATTATGGGTTCATACCTACTGTTTGTTGCGATTTTAGTAGATTTTTATAGATAATCAAAACAATAAAATAGAATAAGCTCTTTTTTAAAAAACAATTATCAGCCCACTTATTTGCTTTATAAAATCGTTATTAATTTAGGCTCCTTACGAATCCTCCATCTTTTTTTTTCCGCAAATGTATATCAAAATCTACTGAACAGGTAGACTAACGATGCAAGTTTTATTCTTCTCCCGGTTCCAAGAATTCACTAATAAACAAGGCTTGAAGGTGCAAATTAGCAATTTGGGAGTGGTCAAGATTTCTGGAGATCGTCAAGTCGGTAATTTAAGAACTAGATTTTATAAGGAATTCCCAATACCAAAATACTGTAATACAGATGCAATCCAAGCAAAATTAGCAAAAGGTTCTCTCAAGATTTCATTTCCAAAGAAAGTTACAGCCCCTCCACCATTAGCTGTTAATCCTAAAGCAGATGAAGAAACATCACCAACTCTAAAAGAAAATAACTCAACTACATCCACGAAAGTAGAGGACGAAACAACAAACAACTCAAGATTGAAGAAGATCAAGAATGTAGCTACGAGCGTTGCAGCTATGGTGGCTGTGATTTCTGTCATTACTTACTATCTGTATAGCTCTACAAATAGTTGAAGGATAGTTTAATTATTTATGCAAGAAATAAGTTGGGATCTTTGTGGTCGTTTATAGTTATACTCTTGTGTAAATCGTCCAAACATTTGGGAATTTGTATTAGATGGATTTCTCTTATCGTTTAGGACTTTAAAGCAAATCCTATTATTTAAACTTTCTTATATCAATTCAGTGACCTGAGCAATTCGAATGTAAGCAGAGAAGAGGGAAAAGAGATGAGTGTGTGAGAGAAGCTAAATATGTATGGAATGAAATGAGCTCTTAGCTCAAATGAACAAGATACAAGGACTAAATGTAACTAACTTGACTAACTACACTGCCAGCTGCAATTAAACTAACTCTACCTGACAGCTGTATAATTAAGTAAACTAACAGACTTCTAACCTATGTGGTAATCATGGTTAGTGATGCTGGGAAAGCAAGACACAAACAATTTGCATGACAAGGTAGCAGCGGAATAATATCCAAATCTAACGTTCCCAATCTATTTGAACCAAGAAAATACAAACAAATTCAAACACAAACGTATACGGACAACAAGTATATAAACCAACACGAATATGGCAAGGTAAAATAATCAAACACACGAGATACCAAGATTTACGTGGAAAACCTCTTCAATGTGAAGAGTAAACACCACGGGACCAAAGACCCTCAAAAGCTCCATTAAATCTATCAACAAGAGTTATAAAAGTTCTCTAAATTAGCCACAAAGTAAGTGCCAAATCCAGAACAACAATAGAAACAAGTTCACACCAAAACAATTGAAAAAAGAAGAGAAATCACTCCAAACACGAGCTACTATTTATGCCTCCAAAACTGAAGCTACAAGTCTCCAAATCCAATCTCTATCGTTGAAATTCAAGAACCAGATGTTAAAAACTCCAAGTTCAAATTTAAGCACAATCCGACAATTAACGGGTCGAAAAATGCTATTTGAAGCGGACTACCTCAGCAGAAATTTTCTGGAGCAAAAGATCACACTTTTCTCTCTCACAAGGCTTCAAAAACGGTTGCACCCTTATGTTTTCTCTCTTGTTCTGTTTTAAACCTAAAATATGTCATATTTATGTCTTGATATTAGTAGGCTGTAGGCAAAGTGGACTAGGTCCAAAAGACACATTTTAATCCACATAGGAAGGGAAAGGCCCAAAAAACTCCCAACAAGTGAACCATACAATTGATTAACTCCTTTACATATTACCTTGAAAAGAATGTTTATGCATTGTTGCTAAAAGGAGGAAGGAAAAACTTTAAGTAATTTTGAAATTGTAAACCTCATTTGCAGTTCATGCAGTGCCCAAATGCAGGCCATTATGTTATTTATGCCGGAGAAAATATGAATTTTGTGATATATTTGTTGTCCATTCCAATTGGTTTTTCGCATTACAACCAACGCTTCCTTGGATCTAGTTGGTTTGTCAGACGCCGATTGGGTTGGTTACCCCCGGTCATCCTTCTACTTCAAGTCTGCACATTGACGTCGTGACGACTCCTAGTCTTTAAGACTAGGTAAGCCTAACAACATGCGAAAAAATTAAAATAACAATAGATATAAGTCTCAAACTCAACAGTTGTAAATAAACAACGTTATAACTCAGCATAATATAAATCTCGAGACCCGGCGTAGTACAAGTCACAAGCTCTAACTATGAATACTGGATAACCATATACATCACGTCTATATATATAAAGGATAATGAAATAAGAGATCTAGAGAGAGGGGGACTCCGAGGCCTGCGGACGCCGGCAGGTATATCTTGAAGTCTCCGCAGTAGAATCCCGACTAATGCGTGGACTGGTAAGAAGTACCTGGATCTGCACACAAAAATATGCAGAAAAGTAGCATGAGTACACCACAATGGTACCAATAAGTGTCAAGCCTAACCTCAGTAGAGTAGTGACGAGGTTAGGTCAGGAAATAATAAAAGACTGAACAAATGTAGGCAGTGTAATAAAGACAGTAATAAAGTTAAAGTTATACCACCGCAGGCGTATCAATATCACAATGTATTACAAACGCACCTCAAATACCCAATATCACAATTTGCCAGAGAAACCAAACAATAACAAAATTTCACAATAAGGAGCCCACGACTCAACCACAATGTACACCAAGTCTCAACAATAATAACTGGAAGAATAACTCAATAGAATGATATTTCACAACTTAACACTTTGCCTTAATAGGAATCACAGTCTTTATAACTCAATACCAATTTTAACAACAAGATATCCCAATGAGTAGCAATTTCAAGTAAGAATTCAATAGTTAAATAGTGAATACGGAATAAGGAAACAAGAATTTCAACTAAACAAGTAGAGCAATTAGCAAGTAAGAGATAGGACAAGTAGACATGTGAAATTAGACTAATTATGATGACTATAATATGTTAAAGTAACTCAATTAAAGCATGAAAGGAATCTACATAGCTAAAAATCAGAAATTTCAACATTTAGCCCATGTACACACTCGTCACTTTACGTACACGGCTTTTACATATCACAATTATCACAACAATATCAAATCCAAAGGGGAAATTCCCCTACACGAGGTTAGACAAGTCACTTACCTCAAACCACGCTAAATCAATCAGCTAGAAGGCCATTCCCTCGATGTTCCAACTCTGAACGACTCGAATCTAGCCAAAATATTTTCATACTATAAATATAACTATAGGAAACTAATTCAAACAATGAAATTACGATCTTTGCAAAGAATTGAAAATTTGACCCAAAACGTCACCCTGGGCTCGCGTCTCGGAACCCGACCAAAATTATAAAAATCGAACACTCATTCGGTATCGAGTCCAACCGTACAATAATTGTTCAAATCCGGCCTCATTTCGCCTTTCAAAACTCAAAAATTTAGCCTAAGAAGTTCTATCACTTTTCCCCACTTTTTCCAACTCCAATCCCTAATTACATGATCAAAATAATAATAGATTCGAGTAATTTAACCAAAATCGAGTTAGAAATTCTTACTCCAATGATGTTTCTGAAAATCCCTCAACATTTCGCCTCAAACCGAGCTCTCTAAGTCTAAAATGTGAAATAAGAAATAAACCCTCGATTTCAAACTTAAATTCTGCTCCCAACGATTTACACATCGCGATCGCGAAACTACCTTCACAATCGCGAAGAACAAAACAAGGTTTCCCCCCAAAATGGCCTACGCGAACGCATATAACTGATACATAGACCCACGCGATCGCGGACACACCCACGCGATCGCGAAGAACAATCTCTGCGTGACCCTACTGCCTCAATTCCTTGTACGCGAACACGATCCTCTCTACGCGTTAGTGAAGCACTAGCTTCACTACTTCTGCGATCGCGTCCTTCTCCCTGCGAACACGAAGAGTAAAAATCAACAGTCCACAAAAATCCCTTCGCGATCGCGAACCTAACCTCGCGATCGCATAGAAGGAAACCAGACCTGAGAAAAACCAGAACTTCAGCTATTCCTAAATGATCCGAAATGCGCCGAACATGGTTTGAATTACACCCGAGGTCCCCGGAACCTCAACCAAACATACCTACAAGTCCTAAATATCATACGAACACGCTCGAAGAGACAAATCATATCAAACAACAAAAATTCTACGAATCGCAACCCAAATTTAAGCCTATGAACTTCTAAATTCCAAAACCAACGCCGATTCATACCAAAACAACTCGGATTGACTCTAAATTTTGTACACAAATCATCGATGACAATACATACCTAATCCAATTTCCGAAATCGAGATCTGACCTCTATATCAATAAAGTCAACTCCCAGACAAACTTTTCAAAATCTTCCATTTTCTCACTTTCGCCAATTCGAGCCGAAACGACCTACGGACCTCCAAATCAATATCCGAACACGCTCCTAAGATCAAAATCATCATAAGAAGCTATTGGAACTGGCAGAAATCCATTCTAGAGTCATCTTCACACAAGTCAAACTACGGTCAACTTTTACAAACTAAACCTCCAACTTAGGGACCATGCGTCCCATTTTACTCCGAAACTTTTCCGACCCCGAAACCAAGCATCCTGGAAAGTCACATAATTATAATATAATACAGAGGAGGCAATAAATAGGGGTTCGGGAATAATACACTCAAAACGACTGGCCGGATCGTTACACACGTCTTTCTCTGCTTAAGTTGTCTCATGGTCTTCAAAAGAAATAGAATATTGTTGCCAAGTCCAATGCAGAAATAGAGCACTTGTCGTTAGCCTCTCTAGCAACAGAACTCACTATAGTTACTTATATCCTCTGTGACATTGGGATTCCATTTCCAAAACCCCAAGTTCTATACACAAACAACTAATTGAGTGCTCTTCACCTTACTTTTGACAAAGCTAGAGATGAATGAATGAAAGTTGTTCCAATTGTATTATGACGGTGTCCTCTTTATACAACAGATTAGGAATTGAATCCCAGAATTATAGGTAAGGTAAAGAAAAGGTATTAAATTACAGATACACATTCCAAATCCTAGCAGATTACAATCAATAAAATAAAATTAGATCTTCACATAATAAAATAAAATCAAATTTGAAATCAAGTGGAAGATATTGTTCAAATATGAAATTAAGCTGCTGAAATTGTTCCTTTTGTATACGGTCGAAATTGATTTTGTCCTTCGTATGTCTGATCGAGATGGGGACATAATGGACCGAAGAAAGTCTTCATAATATCGAGGTGAGATATGAAGAAAGCACGAACAAACTTCTAGTTTTCGAGTTGGATTAAATACCGAGCTCGACACCATTATCGAGCTCGAGTCCAAATCGGACTATACTAAGAAGCAGCGGAATCGAGTTTAAGAACCAGAAGCCAACCAATACCGAACCCAGGTCAATACCGTACCCCGAGTCGGCATCGAGCTCAAACCCGCATCGAGCTCTAAAACTAATACCGACCAATACCGAGTCCGATCCAGATCGAGCTCATGGACAAGAGCCGTTACAGTCGCACTAAGGGAGAGAATCTCGGCGGGAATTAGAGAAAAACTGATTTATCATGGGTTCCCCACAATGTATTTTTTATTATATCTAAAGTAGGACCACCCACTATAAAAGGGATGGCTATATTTCTGTAAAGAACAAGTTTTGCATACATTGTAACTG